TCTTCCTCACCAAAAAAAAAAAAAAGACAGAGGTTGTCAGAATGGATCAAAACCCAAGATAACTATATATTATCTACAAAAAAAACACTTTAAATATAAAGACACAGACAGTTCAAAAGTAAACAGATGGAGGAAGATATACCAGGCCAACACTAATCAAAAGAAAGCAGAAGTGTCTATATTAATTTTAGACAGAGCAGACTTCAGAGCAAGGAAAGTTATCAGGAATAAAGAAGGGCATTACTTAATGATAAAGGGGTCAATTCTCCAGCAAGACATAAAAATCCTTAATGTGTATGTATCTAACAACAAAGCATCAAAATACATGGGGCAAAAACTGAAAGAACTGTGAGGAAAAATAGATTAATCCACTGTTACAGTTGTTGACATTAGCACCTCCTTATCAGAGATATATAAATTTAGCCAGCAGAAAAATCAGTAAGGACATAATTGATCGCCACAACACCTTCAATCAACTGGATATAATTGACAACTATAGGCGACTTTATCAAACAACAGCAGTTTGCACATTCTTCCCAAGCTCACACAGAACATTCACTGAGATAGACCACATACTGGGCCATGAACACACTCTAACAAATTTAAAAGAATAAAAATCATACAGTGTATGCTCTCAGATCTCATGCAATTAAACTGGAAGTCAATACAAGAAAGATGGATAGAAAATCCCAAAATACATGGAATTAGACAAAACACTTCTAAATAACACATGGGTCAAAAAAGAAACATCAAGAGAAATTTTAAAATATTTTGACCTAAGCAAAAATGGAAATGCTACTTATCAAAATTTATGCGATGCAGAGAAGGCAGTACTTAGAGGGAAATTTATAGCACTGAATGATATATTAGGAAAGAACAAAGATCTAAAATCAAACATCGAAGCTTCCACCTAAGGAAACTAGAAAAAGAGGAGCAAATTAAATCCAAAGTAAGCAGAAGAAAAGAAATAATAAGAATTAGAGCAGAGATCAATGATGAAATTGAAAACAGGGAATCAATAGAAAAAATCAACAAGCAAAAACAGCGGTTCTTTGAAAAGATCAATAAAAGTGATAAGCCTCTAACCAAGCTAACTAAAGGAAGAAAACAAGAGAAGACACAAATTACTAAAGCAGAAATAAAAGAGGGGACATCACTACAGATTCCATGAACATTAAAATGATGATAGAGAAATAGTATGAACACTCTATGCCCACAAATTTGATAACCTAGATGAAATGAGCAATTCCTTGAAAGACACAATCTGCCAAAACTCACACAAGAAAAAATAGACAATCTGAAGAGGACTATCTCTACTAGAGAAATTGAATCCATAATTAACCTTCCAAAATGGAAAGCACCAGGGCAAAAGGGTTCACCAGTGAATGCCACCAAACATTGAAGGAAGAAATTATACCAATTCTCTACAATCTCTTCCAAAAGATAGAAGCAGAAGTAATACTTCCTACTTATTCTATGAGTCCAGCATCACTCTAATACCAAAAGCAAAGACATTACAAGAAAAGAAAACTACAGACCAATATCTCTCAGGAACATAGATGTAAAACTTTTCAACAAAGTATTCACAAATCAAATCCAAGAATGTATATCAAGAATCCTACACCACAACCAAGTGGGATTTATCCCAAGTATGTAAGACCAGTTCAACATTTGAAAAATCAATCAATGTAATTCATCACATCAACTAGCTAAAAAAGAAAAGTCACAGGATCATATTAATAGATGCAAAAAAATCATTTGACAAAATCTAACACCCATTCGTTAAAAAAACTCTCAGTAAGCTAGGAATAGAGGGGAACTTCCTTAACTTGATAGAGAATATTTACAAAAAACATTCAGCTAACATCATACTTAATGGTGAAAAACTGAAAGCTTTCTCACAAAGATAAAGACAAGATAAGGATGTCCCCTCTCATCATTGCTTTTCAACATCACTCTGGAAGTCCTACTTAAGGCAGTAAGACAAGAAAAGGAAGTAAAAGGTATACATATTGGGAAGGAAGAAATAAAACTATCTTTGCTCACAGAGGACATGATCATCTATATAGAAAATCCTAAAGAATCAACAAAAAACTCCTGGAACCAGTAAGTGATTATAGCAAGGTTGCAGAATATAAGGTAAATATACAAAAGCCAATCACTTTCCCATATACCAACAACGAACAAGTGAAATTTAAAATTAAAAACACAATACTATGTACATTAGCAACCAAAAAAATGAAATACTTAGGCATAAATCACACAAAATATGTATGAGATGTATATGAGGAAAACTACAAAAACTCTGATGAATGAAATCAAAGAATAAATAAATGGAGAGATATTCCATGTTTATGGATAGGAAGATTCAATATTGTCAAGACGTCAGTTCTTTCCAAATTGATCCATAGATTTAGTGCAATCTCAATCAAAATCCCAGCAATTTAATTTGTAGATATTGACAATCTGATTCTAAAATTTATATGGAGAGGCAAAAGACCCAAAATAGCCAACACAATATTGAAAAAGAAGAAAAAAGTTGGAGGACTGACACTAGCTGACGTCAAGACTTACTATAAAGTGACAGTAATCAAGACAGTGTGATACCAGTGAAAGGAGACAAATAGATTGATGGAACAGAATACAGAGTCCGGAAATGAACCCACATAAATATAGTCAACTGATCTTTGACAAAGGAGCAAAGGCAATACAATGGAGCAAAGACAGTCTCTTTAACAAATGATGCTGGAACAACTGGACATCAACGTGCAAAAAAAAAATAAAAGAATCTAGACACAGACTTTACACCTTTCACAAAAGTTAACTTGAAATGGATCATAGGCCTAAATGTAAAATGCAAGACTATAAAACTATTAGAAGATAATATAGGAGAAGACTTAGATGACTTTGGGTATGGCAATGACTTTTTAGATACAACACCAAAGACAGGATCCATGAAAGAAATGATAGATAAGCTGGACTTCATTAAATCAAAAACTTCTGTTCTATAAAAGACAATGCCAGGAGAATGAAAAGACAAGCCACATTTGCAAAAGACACATCTGATAAAAGGCTGATCCATAATATACAAAGAACTCTTAAAACTCAACAATATGAAAATGAACAACCCAATTAAATAATGAGCAGAAGACCTGAGCAGACACCTCACCAAAGAAGATATACAGGATGCCAAGTAAGTATATGAAAAGAGCTCCATCTCATATGTCATCAGGGAAAGGCACATTAAAACAACAATGAGGTAGCACTACACACCTATTAGAATGGCCAAAATCCAAGAGACTGACAGCACCAAATGCTGGCAAGAATGTGGAGCTCATGCTGGTGTGAATGCAAAATAGTATGGCCACTTTGGAAGACAGTTGGGCAGTTTCTAACAAAACTAAACATACTCTTACCATACCCTCTAGCAAATATGTTGCCTGCTATTTACCCAAATGAAGTAACAAATGTCCTCATAAAAACCTGCATGTGGATGTTTATGGCAGCTTTATTCATCATTGCCAAAACTTGAAAGCAACCAACATGTCTTTCAGTAGTTGAATGGGATAAATAAACTGCGGTACATCCAGACAATGCAATATTATCCAGCGCTAAAAAGAAAGGAGCCAAGAAAAGAAATTCATCTTACTAAGTGAAAGAAGCCAATCTGAAAAGCCTACCTACTGTCTGATTCCAACCATATGACATTCTGGTAACAGCTAAACTGTGGAGAGAGTAAAAAGATGAGTGGTTGCCAGAGGAGAGGTAAGGAGGAGGGGAGTCCGAACAGGGAGAGCACAGAGGATTTTTAGGGCAGTGAAACTACTCTGTACGATACTATACTGGTGGAAACATCATTGTACATTTTTCAAAACCCATAGAATGTACAACACCAAGAGTGAACTCCAATATAAACTATGGACTTTGGGTGATAATGGTGTATAAATGTAGCTTCATCAATTGTAACAAATGTACCACTGTGACGCGAGGTGTGGGCAGTGGGGGAGGGACGTGTGCATGTGCGTGTGCATGTGAGGGTCCAGGGAGTATATGGGAAATCTGTGTACTTTTCGCTCAGTTTTGCTGTGAACCCAAAACTGTTCTTAAAAATAAAGTTCATTAATTTTTTTAAAAAACTTAAGAAATGCTGGAGCTAGAATTTTATTTCAGGTAAATTTAAGTGTAAAACCTTTGCTTAGTGTGGCAATGCCGCTCCCAAGCCACTGAACTGGGCCTGGAGCACTCCAAGTTCCTTTCGCCCTTTCTTCTTAAAGTTTCCCAGTTTTAACAACTTTCGACAGCCAAGGGAATCACACTGCCACCCAAGCCACTCGGTGAGGAGCTGTACTACTACAAGCAGGCAAAATCATTAAAGAAATCCTTTAGTCACACCAATCAGTACCAAATGCTAACTTATCAGTTATCTAACGTTGTCCAACCAACCACCCTAAAACCTAGTGGCTCAAAACAACAATTTATTATTTCTCATGATTCTGTGGGTTGGCCAGGCAGGACTTCTGCTGCTCTCACTTGGGCCGACTCACACAACCATATTAATTGGTGGACCAGCTGGGGTCTGTGCTCAGATAGCTGAGCCTCTCTCATTCTCTCATGGTCATTTATGCTGGGCTTTTCCACAGGAAGATGAGCTCAGATGTCCAAGACAACAAAAGCAGAGGGTCCCAAGCCTCTTAAGCCTAGCCTCAGAAGTTGTACCATGTCACTTCTGCTATATTCCATTGGTCAGAGCAAGTTATAAGGCCAGCCCACGTTCACGGAGTGAGGAAATAACCTCTTGAGGGGAGGAACAGAAAACTCACGTCACAAAAAATGCATGAGAACCATCAACGTGCATATTATTGTACCACAGTCTCCCCTTGGGTCCCAGTGACTCATGTCTGCTTCCCATGCAAAATCCCCAAAGTCTCACCCAATCCCAGCGTCAGGCTCAGAGCCCATGATCTCATGTGGTTCAAATCCAAATGCAGGATGCTACCTACATGCAGCTCTTTGCTGTGGCTCCTCTTCATGCAGAGATGTGGGAACTAAAAAGACCATTATCTGCCCACATACCTCATCTACAATGGAAAGAGAGGAACAAAATCACTGCAATAGACACTCCCATTTAAAGAAAAGGGAGACAGGGGCCAGCCCAGTGGCACAGTAGTTAAGTTCTCACCTTTCCACTTTGGCGGTCCAGGGTTCGCTAGTTCAGATCCTGGGCGTGGACCTACGCACTGCTTGTCAAGCCATGCTGTGGTAGGCATCTCACAGAGGCACAGAACCGTCTGTGGTCCATAACAGTTCCGAAATCCAGCTGGGCACGTGTTTTAGGTCTCCTCTTCCAGGAACAAGGAGTATTCCTTTATGGGGGACCAGTGGTGCTCCCTAAGAGAGGTTCCCTCAATTATTGTTCTCCCCAGCTCTTGGCTCTGCCCCAAGTCTCATGGCTTTATCTTCTGAGACACCTTTCCTTTATCATAAGAAATGGTCCATGTTTGCAGCTAAGAAGCTTTCTTCCACCTTCTTTCTGCCCATAGAAAGTTGGGAGCTCAGAAGCCTCTTTTTCATTCTGAACTCTCTCTCCCCCATTTCAGTCCAAGCTGACAGTGCTCTTGTAAATACAATACTCTCAAAAAACTTTGTGGGTTTCCTATGAATTTTATAGTGTCTCTCCCCAGGCGCAAAAGGCACATCCATAATTCCTTTAAGACATGCCTCTCTCTGCTTTACACGTGTTCAAGTGGCTATGGGATAATGCCCTTAGGATTCTTAGAAACTATTTTGTCTGGCTGAGAAAGTTAGTTAGGTACATCCTTAAATTTTTCTGAAGTCTTAACAAAGATCTTATGACCACACATTTGATTCAATGTTTACCTTCAGGCCATTTCTCATTTTGAGAATCTTTTGCTGACTGGAAACACGAGAAATGTGAAATAGTTTCATTTTCTAACCAAAAAAAAAGTCCTGGCTGTTTTATATTCCCTGCAAGTTCTAATTATAAACTAAACATTTCATTCTTTGGTTCATTTCTCTCTTCCTAGGTTAAAAAAAAAAATCAATTCACACTTTCAAAATTTTGCCGTGGCCAAGTCTACAAGTTCATTAGGCACATTTTCTATCTTCCAAGTTACTGTGGCATCAGTTTCCCCATATACACAACATGGGTCTCTCGTTTCCAGCTCCAGTAGCAATTTTCTCATTGTTCTTGCAATTCTGCTGACAAACTCCTTGCTACCCTTTCAGCCTCCACCTGCCACCCAGTCCCAAAGCCAGTGCCACATGCTTCAGAGTTCTGCTACAATTGTGCCCACTGCCAGATACCAGTTTCTTCACCAGTTCTTGATGACTGCACAACAAAACACTCCAAAACCTAGTGGTTTCAAACAGCTGCCTCTTATTATTTCTCATGACTCTGTGGATTGGCTGCAGAGCTCTGCTGCTGGCCTTTCCTGGGCTGCAATCAGCTGGCAGGTTGGGTGGACTCACCTGGGCCTTTCTCTCCAGAAGGTCTTCTATCCTGAGCTTATTCACACCATGGTAGTCTTGGGGTTATGAAACAGCAAAAGGAGAGGCTCCAAAGCTTCTAGAAGCCTAGCCTCAGAAGACACCCAACGTCACTTCCGCCATATTCTATTGGTCAAATCAAGTCACAAGGCCAGCCCATAGTCAAAGGTGGAAAAACGTACTCCCCATCTTGATAGAAGGAGCTGCAAAGGGACATGAATACGGCAAAGTGTAATTTATTAGGGGCTATTATTATAACAATCTACCACATAATACATATTTTTATGTATGGAAATACATGCATATACGCACATCATGTGCATGTGCATTTTTTTACATCAGACTTTGCAATCAAGATATTTGCTTTACTAGTTTATTTAGATAACTGTAGTTGAGTCATAATACTTTATGATAGTCAGCTTGTGAATGGCCTGCAGTATATTTGGCAAAAGTAATGAATTCTTCGTGATTTGAGATTTGCCTAGAGCTCCTGGCAATAAAATGTTTCCTGTGAAGTAAAACGATATTGCTAAGGAATTTTTGTGGAAATTATAGGGTTTATGGATTAGCAAAGTGAGAATTAATGAGGTTCCTCTGTCTTAACTGCAACCGAAGAACTGGAATTTCTATAAAGAAATTAGTTCTAACAGCGAAAACCTTTTTCAAATCATTCTGGCAAAGATGACATCATACTGAAAGCAGAAAGCTGTAAAAGCCTAAATTTTGCCATTATGGAGATTATTTTTATTGCAATGGATAATTTTTATTAATTAAATTTTCACATGGATAACTTGGCAATAAAATTGTTTATAATCTAAGTGTATGTCTGTAATCTTACTGTGTGATATAGTTTTTACAAAGGTTTGGGACACCGTAAGCTACAGTCTCCTATCTTTATTTCTCAGAGTCACTTTTACTATTTAAATTAAGAAATTTTTATACATTAGGGTATAAAGTCTTATTTCTCACATATTTGTGGGTGAGATAAAATGTTATTTTTACTATCTTCAGAAATGTGTAAAATGAGTGGTTATAAAAATACATCATAATATTAATCATCTTCTTTCATACATTAAGGGAGCTGATAACCAAGTTGTGCTAAGGAATACTGAATATGATTATTTTAGCTGGAGGACACTTCATTTTACATATAGAAGGAAAATCCAATCAAATTAGATGAGATAGAATCTCATGACTTAATTTATAGTACTATTACGCAATCCTAATTGTTCAATAGTCTTTATCAGGCTAAAAGTTTTGACCCCATGGATGATGACTTGAGACACACTGATACAGCCAGCTTCGGAATAAATTACACATTCATGGAAAATTAAAAATCTGTGTGCAGAACACTTAAACATATTAAAAATTTCAGTAATTCATCTTGTAAAATCTTTCTCTAGCACCATTTCAAGTCTGACAGCGATTCTGCCAAAAAGCTCAAAGTGTAAAATGATTATATGAGGTACCTCGAGTCGTCAAATTCATAGAGACCAAGTAGAATGGGACTTGCCAGGGGACAGAAGAAGGAGAGAATGGGGAGTTATCGGAGACAGATGGTGGTGACGGTTGCACAACAATGTGAATGTACTTAATGCCACAGAACTGTACACTAAAAATGGTTAAAATGGCAAACTTTATGTTATATATATATTGTCCCAAAATAAAAAAAAGTAAAATGAAATTAAAATAATGTAACTACAAAATAAGTACAAACACTTCGGAAAATTCGTAGGTACAAAAGAAAGCCACTAATGTTACAGAACATAATCGACATCAACAAGGACATTAAGGTACAACAATCATAAAAGTAGAAGAAAATAATCACTTCTCGAAAATGGCAGCCACTATCGTTAATTCAGATGAAACTCAAGAGAAGTCACTGCTGAGAGACATAAGTGAAAGTGGGCACATTGAGTCTAAAAAAGCAGCTCATAGCTTAAAAGGTGACTGAGTGATGATGTCTTACATTAGCCACTGTTTAAAATTTGCCTTTTAAATGTCAGGACTAGCTTAAGCATCCCCATGTCTAGGTGCCTTTACAGATCCCAGGGCAGAATTAGTAACCTCCACACAACATCTCAAATAATTGCAATTCCAATCTTCCTTCTAAATACATTTTCCCATGCCCCTGCCTTCACCTGGCTGATTCCCAGCCATTTTTCTAGGTCAGACTCTCTGAGGCTTTCCCCTTGTCTAATCCCTGTTGCTGTCCTTGTGTTTTCAAAATCACTCCAGTTTCTCCATCAGTGTTTATCTGATTACTGCGGGTCTTTCCAACAAGCCTGGAAGCTGTTGGAAGGCTACGATTGTGTCTTGTTCATCCCTGTATCCCCAGGCCCTAATACAGTGTTTGACCCAGAGTATACAGATAATAGATGTTGTTGAATAAATGAATGAATGAATGAAGAATTAAATGAAGGGTACACCCTTTTCAAGCTTATGAAATGGGCTGCATTTCAAGAGCCAGGCTCAACCCCAGAGATGCTGATCTCGAGACCTGACCATCTGACGGGAAGGCAGCATGATAAGCCACCGTGGAGATGATGCCAACCAAGCCAGAGATAGCAGCAAGGGGTGGGATGTAAATTTGGCCAGAATCTTATGAGAACACATTACACTCCCCAACCGGTGCATTGCAGAAAGCAACTTCCGTTCCAGCAGGTTGTTGTAACTATCGCATTCTGAATACAACTTTTGAAGGATGTATGAAGAGCTGTGAAGAGTCGTAGCTGACCCCTTTGCTCCTAAAAATGTTTTTTTACCAGGCTCATTATGTATATGGATACACACATCTATCAATCAGATTGAAAAAGCTTTGGGGGGGGAGGTTAAATCTTTTTAAACATTTTATAGTAAATGCAAGAGAAAACACAAAAATTAAGTTGTACTTTACATATTGGTGAGCCTCAATGGATTTCCTGCCCACGCCTCCCCTTCTCTCATACCCTTTCTGGGTAGAATAACTCTTGATGGGAGAGAAGCCTCTGGGGATCGCTGTAGCCTTGGGAAATGAAGCGCCCAGTAGATGCAGGAGGTTTCAGAGAAACGGGGCCGTGCCCAAACTCTATTCTTTCCCCAAAAAAACGGTTTACTCTCCACCCATGGCCAAGGGGCACTGACTGTGCTACACAAGCGAGGATGTATATTCCCAAGTGATCACTCAGTATTATACATCCTAAAACAAATAAAATAAGACAGTAGATCTGCTCATTTTGGGGGCTCCTAAACTGGCAGAAGTTTGTGCTCCTGCACACTGACATTTTGAAAATCCCACGAAAGGTACAACTACACCAGAATGAAGCTGAAGAAAAAAAATCCCTATGAACAAAGGCCAGCTCAAACCCCAGATAGCTTTTCCCCCTCCTAAGCACATGTTATAGAAAATAAACAATATTTTCATTTAACAACAGATGGTTCAACACTCATTGCTATGCCAGGACCTAGCAGTGCATAAATGGCTTCTCCTTCTTGGAAAAAGCGTCTTCTCTTCCCAGTTGGACTCTGAGCCCCTGGAGCAAAGGGCTTACAAAATTCTGTGTCTTTGTGTTGCCAACACTCAGCTTGATAGCCATCAGGAATAAGGACTAAGGCAAGATTGTGGGCTGAAGAATAACCCAGGGGCAGGAGGAAAGGGGTAAGAAAGAGGTTGGCAAGCAGCTAGCTTATTTCACTTATGTTTATTCAACAAACAGGTTTAGTATCTACTATGAAATTAAGATAGTGATAAAAGCTAGCATTTGCTCATTTTATATATTTATTATTTATTATCTCGCATGGTTCTGTGGGTTGACTGAGCTCAGCTGGGCGCTTCTTGCTTGGGGTCTTTCATACAATTACAGATAGCAGCTGGGGCTGAAGTTCAGAAGGTTCAACAGAACTGGACATTCAAGTTGGCTCATTCACTTAGCTACCAGTTGATGTTACCTGCTGACTGGGAGCTCATTGCAGGGAGCAACTGTATGCTATCAGGCTGCATGCTACAGGTATCCTGGCCTACACATGCTTCTGGAAGAATGCAGCTGGGTCCTGAGAGGGAGTGTCTCAGAGGGAACATTCCAAGAGACCCAGGTATAGAATGTGAAAGATGACATGAGTGGAGCCATATTAAAATAGAGCTGGAGCAACCATTTCAGAGGAATTGCCTTGCACTCTTATTTTCTTTATCTTCTCAACTGGACAAAACCACCAACATTCCAAGATGTCAGTAAGGACAAGAATATCCTGTTTGTAAGGACTGATGAAACTGGACTTTGCTGATGATGGAATCGCTAGCCAATCAATGAAGGACACGTCTAGCCTTTGGCCTGATGACTGAATCTCAAGCCAATCTATGTATGAAGTGCAAACCTAGCCTTACCTCTTCTAGCACCAATGAACCCTTCTTTCATACAACTTACCTCATCTTCCCCCCCATTTAACCATAAAAACCCAGAGCCCCTTTTCTGTAATTGGGACACTATTTGGGTTTCTACCTGAATCTGTGCTTCCCAAATTGCAATTCTTTCACCCCAGATAAATGCTTTGCCTCTTAAACTGGTTTCTGTTTTTGTAGGTTGACAAGAAGCAGCAAGATTCTTATGATCTAGCCTTGAAAGTCACAAAGGATCACTTCAGCTGCAGCCCAGATTCCAGGCAGGGACTACACAAGAGTATGAATAACGGAGGCATGGCCCCCAGGTAGGGGCACCTTTGGAGAAGGAACAAATTTCTCTCTCTCTCTCCAGACATGTCACAGTGTGCTTCACATACATTATTCCACTCACAAAAGCCATGCTGGGTAGGTATAAGCATCCCTCCTCTTACAGATGAGGAAGCTGAAGCTCAGAGGTGCTAGGTCACTTGTCTGAAGTTACCCAGCAAAGATTTTCCTCTCTGAATGGATTTCAGAGTGTGATCAATGTGTGATTTACTACTACTGTATTAATCAGAGCACCCTCTACTACTCCTGAGGTGCAAGGTTTCGTTTTCAGGAGCACTGTCAGAACACGAATGAGAAAAGAGATAAATCCCCTTCCTCCAAGGATTTTATAATCTGGTAGAGCCAGAAAATATCGCGGTAAGAGGAGTTGTTGCTGAACAAGGAAATCTCAATTTTGAAGGATCCCGCTCTATCCAAACTACTGAAATCAAATATTGGGAAGATCCAAGGGAAACTGCCCTGAAATACCTCTTTGCTCCTTTTCATGGTCTTCAGAGAGATTAAAAGAAAACTTGAGAATAAGGAAAATAGGGGTAATGGGTGAATCCTAGAATGCAGGAGCCCATTGAGAGCCTCTAAAACACTGTTGAGAGCCAGCCCTGTGGCACAGCGGTTAAGTTTGGCACCCTGGGATCCCAGGCATGGACCTACACCACTCATCAGCCATGCTGTGGCAGCGATCTACATATAAAATAGAGGAAAACTGGCACAGATGTTAGCTCAGAGCTAATCTTCCTCAGCAATAAATAAATAAAGGACTCTTGAAAGGAAGGTTCCATCACCAATGGTATCTGAATTCCCTCATCATAATGAAGGAACTTTGTTTGTTAAATGTGTAAACATTGAAATGCTATTAATTCCTCTCCAAGAGGCCATGCAGACAGGGTGTACACATGTGTTTTTGTGTTAAAGCGGGTTTAAAAGACCCTTTTGCCTTTCCCACTGTAGTAGGTAAACAGCCATATAACCCTCACCCGTTTTTATCACGTTGTTGATCACTTTCTCTACCTACAGGGCAATAATTTTCCACTCTAATCCAATCAATATGCTATTTACCACTAACTCCCTTCCCAGCCCCAACCCTCCTCTTCACACTCAAAGATACCAGATTTCAGATATATACATACAACAACTCTTTAAAACTTTCAGACCATTTAAGTCTGCGGTGTCTTTCAAAGCTATTAGTTTCATTTTTTATTTAAAAAAAAAAAGCAAGTCTACGTTCTTAACTCAACTGTTAAAAGCCCGAGAGTTTAGTTTTAAGAACTTGAGTCACGGTGCACCTTATTTGTCCCCCTGTGTCTCGCTTCTGCAGCCCTAGGTGTTTTGTATTATGCATGAGTGAACCCCGCTTAGAAACAGAAATGCATTTTCAGTAAGTATTTATTATGTTGTTCTGAGCATACAGCTTTAAATTTGCCCGCTGTAGCTTGAAGCATTACACAAACTGTTGGTCTGCTGACTGCCTCTCTGGCAGCAACACACACAGAAAATAGATTGCTAAGGGTTTTTTCCCCTCCTCCCCCTCGCCTTCTCTCCCTCTCTCTCCTTTTTCTCCTGGTTGTTTTTTTTTTTTTTTAAACTAGTCGTGAACATTTTTTAATCTTGTGGCATTTTTAATCAACACGTATTTCCTTCCAGGACCTAGGATCCTCTATTGATTCCCATTAAAATGCTTTTCTTTTCTTGGCCCCCTCTGCTGATCGAATTTCAGATCAGCCACAGGATATGCAACTAACCTTCCGGCACTGCTGAACCCAGCCGAGCGAGGGTGATCAAAAGGCTCGATGCATTCATTAAACATTCCAGCGCCCGGGCAGGAGCTCTAATGGAAGCTCTCTCTTGGCATGGCCATTTTTTTTTTTTTCCTTTTTGTCTTTCCCCCCACCTCCAAAAAATGTTTTTTGCCTTTGATCGCCGGGGAGCCGGGGGGAGAACGGGAGAACAAAAGAGACCTATCTTTTTCCCCGGGGCTGACGTCAGTTTGATTTTACTGACAACTATTCGAGCGTGTGGAGCAGTTGGAAGCGGCCCCCGGCCCGCCCCCGCTCCTACACCGTCCACTTTGGGGCGAAAACAAGACTTTTTGCGGCTCCGGAGACGCGCCCTGAAAATGGCCCGCTTGCTGCCCTCCCGCGCGCTCGGCAAAGGGCATCCGAGGCTTATTTGTGGGGCACGATCGTTACTGGGGCGGAAAACACGCGGCGGGGGAGGAGCGGGAGCAGGCGCAGGCCGGGCGGGCGGGGAGGCCGGGAATGTTCCTCCCGGGCCGCGGGCAGCGCACACGGGCGGGGGAAGGATGAGCGGGGCGCGCGGGGTCCGGGGTCCGGGGTCCGGGCGGCTCCCGGCTGGGCGGCCGCGCGAGGGTTCCGGGCGCGCGGGGACCCCTCCACCCCCGCGAGCGCGCGTGCGCGCGTGCGCAGCGCGGCCCCCACACCCCGGCAGCCGCGGCCTCGGCGGCGCCAGCTCCCTGCTCGGCGAGCGCGGCGCCGGGCGGGCCGCAAAACCCGGGCTGGAGCAACGCGCGGACGGGGGCGCCCGCGAAGAACTGGAGAGGCCCCGGGGCGCGCGCCGCGCGGGGAGGGCCTGCGCCGGGACCCCGCACCCGGCCTGCGGGCCGAGGGGGACAGCCCGGGCGAATTCCCGATCGGGCCTCGGAAGAGATGCGTGCGACTAGGGCCCAGCCCGTCCTCCAGGTGCCAGGAGCCTGAGGATCTTTAACCGACCCAAACCATTTCTGGAAAAGTCATATTTTCCAGGCTTTCGTGAAAGAGTCATTACTTCTATTCTAAATCTGGAGGGGAATGTGCATCCATTTCAGGGGAGAAAGAAAGATGTGAAAAGTAGACTGATTCCGGGAAATGTGGATAATGGGGTTGGACCTGTGCCTGGTGTCCACTCACTGGTCCCTCGCTCGAGCACACCTGAGACATTTGTTCACTCAGGTGAGGATGCACGGCATCGACGGAGTTCCACGGCGGATGCGGCCGGGATCCAAAGGCGAATTTAAAAACTGGATCCCTTACTTAACTTTACTAAAGGAAAATATGCATCAAAGAAAAGTCAACCAGGACTGGAAGAACATATACTCACATTTCTCGCTTGTAATTTGGTTAGTTGGCACTACCGTAGGAACATTTCTCCCCTTCCAGGAGGCAGATGAGAGCAGTTGGGAGCGCTGCGTCCCCAAGGCACAGCTCCACGTTATTCCCGTGGCGCCCCGCCCTTACCTCCACTTCAGCTTTTACCATACTGGGTTGAAATGATGTGTTTGCCTATCTCCCGAGGGGCTGAAGATTCCCAGAGAGTGGATACCAAGGCGTGTTCCTTGTATCTGCCCAGCTCGTCAGAGCACACCGTAGGCACTGAATAAGTGTTTTCCTTAATGAGTGCACACTGAAGGTGGAGGGCTGCAAAGCACAGAGGAAAGAACAATTGATTTTGGCTAAGAATGGGGTCCGAGAAGGCTTCCTGAAAGAGCAGGCTTTTGAGCTGGACTCTGAAGACCAACCATAGCTGACAGCGAAGGCCATTCCGGGCTGAGAGAACAACGCGGGCAGAGTGGGGAGAGTGCAGTGGCTGGGACTGCCGTGCGGCTGAGCAGGGGCTACTTGGGGACAGAGAGAGGAAGCTAGGAGGCTGCAGCCAGAATGGGATGAATGCCTTGCCGTAGAGGTAACAGCCAGAAAAAGCACAAAACATTTTATTTAATAGTTCTAGAATACAGACATGCGAATATAAAATACAATATGGAGTACGGATATACAAAAAAAGAGAAAGAAAACAAAAGGCAAAAGAAGAAAAATAAGGAAAGCAGTTTATAGGGAAATTTCAGAAGAATTATCTGAAACCAAACAGAAATGTCAAGGAAAACCCCTGGCTTGAGACTCTGGGAATGAAAACGTTTTAATAGCATTTGGTGGGGGGGACGGGGGGGGGGGGGGTGTCTCTATGGAGGAGGGAGAGAAAAGAGGTAACAGTGGAAGGAATATTTTGAGTAAAGATCTTCGACCGTTACAATGTTTCTCATTGGTGAAGACATGAATTGGTTAAGAAAAATAGGAAAAGCTATTAGCCATCACTATCAAGAAAGAAATGGAATTCAAACCAAGGGAACAGAGAAAACTTGAAAACAAGATAAATGTTCATCAATGTATCACAACATTCCAACTCAACTGTGGCACAGTCGTTAGAATATTATGCAGCCATTAAAAATGAAATATATGTATTGGAAAGATGTTCACAATATATCATTATGTGAAGAAGCAAGTTACAGGTCAGTATGTCTGGAAGGACATATCTAAATGTTTTGGTTATTCCTCATTTTTTACTTTCTCCTTCAAACCTGTAAGTATTGTCTGAGTTTTAATAATGTGCACTTATTACCTTTTTAATTAGAAAATAAACACACAATTAAATAAAGTTTTAATCCTTTTTTAAAAAATGTCTGTGGTTCTTTTCTTATGAAACTGAAGTGACGTCTGTGGCATTGGTAATCCTCATGGCAAGTGGAAAGAAGATAGTCCCCAGAGTCAGGCTGGCTTGAGGGCTGCACAAGGTACCATTTTTTTATGCCTTGTGCCATCTGGCTCAAGTTACTTCCAGACCTTTCTGGGCTCAATAACTTCATCTGTGAAATGAAGATGATAATAGTATCTACCTGACAGGGTTGTTGTGAGGACTGCAAATATCTGTAAAATGCTTAGCATGGCACCTGCCCTCAGGAAGTGCTCAGCACACGGCAGCATTCATGAGAGGAGAGAGCACAGGCCTTAGAAAATCGCTTTCTTAGCAAATCCTCTCTCTGCCACTGTGGTCGTCAGTAGAGCTGCCTGCAGGTATTCCTCCTCTCCCTCTCAGATGGTCAAATTGTTCTTTCTTGCCCATCTGAAGTTAGGGGTGGCTGGGGACAGGCTCTGACCCACAAAAGGAACAGAAGGAACAAGTGTCACCAGTGAGCACTTTGCCATGTTCTCTTTTTCCATCAGCCACGATGACCAGCAGGTCCCAGGTAGCAGCCACTCCATCTGCCCAGATCCCAGATTAAGGAGAAACAGAGCCTCCAGTCCGCCTGCATCGACATGCAGCCAGAGTGAGGAATAAACCTTTGCTCTTGCAACCACTAGGATGTGGGGGCTGTTTGTTACAAAGTGTAATTTAACTTGTGCTGACTGACACAGCCACTTACTTGTTTTGTGATCTTGGCAGAGTTACTAACCTCTTCAGGTTTTCATTTTCTTCCCCTGCAAAATGTAGGTGTTAATATCCCCACTCCATAGGTTGGTGGAGAAAACGAGTTAATGTGTAAAGTCCTTGGCCCTGTGCCTGGCACCTGGTAAATACACAGGGTACAATAGGGACTATTATCATCTTACCATACAGGCTTATTTTCCCCATCTATTAAATGGGAGCAGCATTAACGCCCGGGGATCAGCTGCTGCTTGCACATTGTCTTTCTACCAGTGGATATGCTTTTACTCCACCCATGTAAAGATACTTACTTACACATGAATAAGAGATGGCAAAGTCAATTACATAAGAAAACTCAAATATTATTGATAATCTCCTTTTCATCCTTGGAAGAAATGCCAAATATTAAGTCCTAGTAGAGTCTGCAGCCACACGGCCAGTAGGACAGGTCTCTACTATGACAGCCAAGAGAGTCCTCCGGGGGGTTACGAACACAGGAAGGTTCCAATGACCCTCAGGGTCACAGATAGAGGGTCACTCATGTCAATGAGTTTTGGAGAGATGACTATAAGGATAATGACCGCTAATTTCTTTTAGTAGAAAACCAGTTTCTCATCCTCTCAGAGTCTTAAAAACACAGTGGTCTCTCATATGAGAGAGAGAGAGAGTTGTGCGTCTGGGTTGTTCTAATGATCTGCATGCTTCCCTGCTTAGACCAGAGAGTGGGGAGAGCATGTGGCCATCAAAAATCTGATTTTCAGGGCATAGGAAATCTTTGTTTCCGTTGCTACATAATCAGGAAGGCTCACAATTATGACAGAAAATGAACAGTCCTCTGAGGGTGTTTTGGGCACGAAGCCAGACACCTCAGAGAATCCAGAAGGCATGTGAAGAGTGCCTCTTCTCCCCAGCGGGACTCAGAGGGGGATATTGTAGCACCTTCCCAATTTGGAAAGGGGTGTAAGCCCAATGAAATTCTCTAGCATCAGACAATGGAGCCTCTATTACCATTGCAGTTACTCAAGGCTAATGTTAAATGAGGCACTCAGAAAACCTCTTCACTACCTCTAAGAAAGAGCAGCGTGCAACAAGAGTAATGAGTAGTGAATGGTCATACCTCTATACGTGCTGGGGACTTCATAGTTAACCAAGTGTTTCACATACATTCACTCATTTCATCCTGACAATGAAAGGATCAGCCAAGCAATAGAGAAATGTGGCCCCTATTGTACCTCTACTTGATGAACTGAAAGGCGTGTGGTCTTTCTAGACTTTAAGTATTCCCCCAATACAGAAGGCGGCGGCAGGAATGGGGGAACGGCAGCGAGTTAGCTCTGGGACTTGGCAGCCCGTCTGAAATGAAGAACATCAAGCAATTGGCACACAATTTAACCATAACATAGGCACACAATTTCTGTCTCCATCACAATTAACCAGCAGCGGCCTCTCCATTTCCAAGGCCTTTACACCCATCCACACATTAATGACCACTACCCTTGGATTGCTCCCTGCCTCCGAGCTCTGCACGCGCCCTCTCCTCCTCCCTATCAACACCCAACAAATCTCCCTCAGCATCACTTTCATCAGGTACTCGCTCATGCAAAAATCTCCAGTACCTGAGTACAAGCTCCCAGGCCCATAAATGCAGGTCCTGTGTGGGCTGGTCCCACGCTACCAACTCTTTAGTTTCATCAGAAGTCCATTCCCAAGTCGCTTCCATGCTGTGGGGAATGCCCTTCCTTCTCCTCACCAGGAATCAAAATTCTACCCAGAAGGCCAGCCGATGTCATATCTTCCATGAAAATGTCATCAACACCTCCGGCTGACAAAAGTTTTTCCACATCCCTGAGTTACAGTGGGTTTTCTACAGTTCGGTGCGGTCATCTTCAAAGTGGGAGCCTCTCTTCCTCGGGGGCTGACGAAGGCTTTCCAAAGGGGCCCATGACAGGATATTTTGAAGGAAAGCAACCTGACGATCTTCACATTCCGGATCTGCTTTTTATTAAACACCCCCCACCGACCCCCACCACCTCTTCCTCAAGGGATGTTCCCTCCCTTTACAGAGGAAAGGTGTCCCTCTCATTCACTACCAATCTTCCTAGGGCGCATTTGCTCTGGGATTTAAAAAACCCTCCTGGGCACCAAATAAAGGGAAAATTGAAAATCTTGGCATAGATGTAGGGGAGGTGGATGGCTCTAAGGAATGTGTATTAGTTTCCTGGAATTGCCATAACAAAGTACCACGGAGACAAAGTACCACGGAGACAAAGTACCACGGAGAGGAGGCTTAAACACCAGAAATTGACTGCCTCACAGTTTTGGAGGCTAGAAGTCCAAAGTTGAGGTGTAGGCAGGGTTCGTTCCTTCTGAGGGCTGGGAGGGAGAATTTATTCCTCTCTCCTTGGCTTGCAGATGGCCGGCTTCTCCCAGTGTCTTCACATCCTCTTCCTTCTGTGTCTGTCTGTGTCCAAATTTCCCCTTTTTATAATGACACCAGTCCTAGTGGATCAAAGTCCACTCTGATGACCTCATCTTAACTAATTTTCTGTTATGATGTTGTTTTCAGATAAAGTCACATTCAGAGGTATTGGGGGTTAGAATTTCAACATATGAATTTGGGGGCGGGGTAGGGGCACAACCCGACCCATAATAGACTGAATAACACATTCTTTGTAAGACAGGTGGTTTCCAATCCCTTGCTTTCCACAAAATCGAAGGAGGAAATAATGAAGTTGTCAGCTGACAGATCATTACAACTAATATTTGATAATGGATTGCCATGTGTTTTGAGGAAAATAAGTCAGAAGGAGTTTCAAAACTTGAAGGACATTTTTAGAACAAAACTGTTTCCATTCCCATCTCCTTGTTTATAAGAACAAGGATTTTTCATCTCTAAAAAATAAAAAAAATTGAATGGATGCTAAACAGTTTGTCATTCTAGCAATAAGTAATATTTATCCACAATACACATAATATTTTTAAAAAGGAAGCATCATCTATCTTATTAAGAAATGCAAACTGCCAGTAAAACTTTACTTTCTATGTTAGCATGTGTCAAAATGTTCTATTCATTTAGTTTGTTTTGATCCATTGTACACCACAAGTAATTTTAATGATAACTCAATCCAGGAAACACTTAGAGCCTGTGGTCACAGGAATTTTAAAGTGTATAAATTTTAATTTTTATAGATTTGTTTGATAAATAAAAGTATGATGGAATATTTAGTAAAAGATGTTCAATCATAAATATATTACATAAGCATAAAACTCTGACGGGGAAGTAGAATGGAAATAAAATTTCAAAGAGAAAACAGAACAATACACGATTTTTGCTTGCTAAACATGGGCTTGTTTGTGTATTTCTTAAATGGGTGATGGTGGGTAACAAATAGTTATAGGATTTAGAGTCCATTTGGATACATTTAAAACGATGTAATGGTTTTATTTTAAAATGTTGATATTTATAATATGCTGGAAATTGTATTCTTTGTAACTATTTGAATTTATGATAAAATTACAAACATCAGTTTTTAAATGTGCAAAGAAGAGCATAGTTTTCCAAGCTATATTAGGGTCCTCAAGCAAAACCTTTAAAGATTGATTCAGTATCCGGTGCCAAATTGTATAGTGCGCTTTAGGTGTCTGGTGTCTTAGGGGATATTCTGAATGTGGTCTGCTGTAGCTCACTGTTAACCCAGGGAAATGAACTGAGCTTCTGTCCTGACCTAGTGTTGTCACCATTTCCACCCAGAAATGGAATGGTGGAATTGGACGCATGCTGGTATCTTTGATTCCTTTCTGAGAGACAGCATGGTGGCATGAAAAGTGCATGGTCTTAGAGCCACAATGAGGTACCACTTCATACCCATTAGGCTGGCTATTATGCAAAAAAAGAAAAGGAAAAGAAAAGCAGTATTGGTGAGGATGTAGAGAAATTGGAACCCTTGTGCAATGCCAGTGGGAATGTAAAATGGTGCAGCCACTGTGGAAAATGGTATGCAGTTCCTCAAAAAATTAAAAATAGAATTACCATATAATCCAGCAGTTCCACTTCTGGGTACATACCCAAAAGAATTGAAAGCAGGGACTCAAACACACATTTGTACACTGATGTACACAGCATTCTTCATAATAGCCAAAAAGTGGAAGTCACCCATATGCCATCAACAGAAGAATACACAAAACGTGGTATACACATACATGGAGTATTATACAGCCTTTAAAAAGATGGAAATTCTGACACATGCTCCAACATGGATGAATCTTGAAGACGTTATGCTAAGTGAAATAAGCCAGTCACAAAAGGACAAATACTGTATGATTTCACCTATATGAGGGGCCTAGAGTAGTCAAGCTCAGAGAGACAGAAAGTAGAAGGATGGTTTCCAGGGACCGCAGGAAGAGGAAAATGGGGAGTTGCTGTTGAATATCATTGTTATCTTTACTATTAATATTATGGTTGTATTATGTCATTGTTTATTGGGTGCAGAGCTTCAGTTTTGCAAGATGAATGAAGTTCTAGGGATGGACGGTGGTGATGGTTGCACAACCATATAAATCTACTTAATGCCACTAAACTGTACACTTAAAAATGATTAAAATGAGGATGGCCCAGTGGCGTAGTGGTTAAGGTTGCATGCTCTGCTTTGGGGGCCTGGGGCTCGCAGGTTTGGATCCTGGACACAGACCTACACACTGCTCATCAAGACAAGGTTCTTCTTTTGAATCCCTTTTTATAAAATCACTCAATAAATAAATACTTTTTAACTGGATTTGACTTGTTCTAAAGCCAATGGCAAGAGAAAACTGAGATGATTTCTGTCCAAGCTGGCTGGCTGGTTCTCTTTCATTGGAATGGCCAAGATTTGATCACATCATGTCAGGTCTCTACTAAAATTAATTATGATCAGACTCCATCCACGGCTTCCCAGGGAGAGAAGACAGAAGCTTCCTGCGAAAGTCGTCCTGGCCACTCTCGGGTACAGAGGGTTACTCTGGGGCCGTATGTGACATTTCTTCACTCTAATCATCAACTCTTTCCAATATTACTCAATAATCTTTTAGAAACTACAAAAAGGGAGGTAATAGATGTGATCTCTGCCCCTAAATCACTTAAAATCTTAACTTGTCGGAGCAGAAGAGAGAAGACAGGCCGCGTTATCTTTCACCTGTTCCTACCCTGTTCCCATCACCCTTGGCAATTTCCCTTCTCCTGCTCTCTGATGCCCTTGAGGTCTGATGGGAACGTACTGCCTGGCATTCCTATCTTTTTGACATCCCATCTTCTTGGCTGCGTAATGACAGTGCATTTTATGAATTAGATGGCATGCTGTAGCTCCTGCTTTGCTATATTCAGGGAGCAGCGACATCCAATTTAAATGCCCTGTTTCCTTACTGGCCTGTCATCGTGCGTCTCTCTGTACAGTGAAAGAAGCCTTCTGAATGCTGGGTAGAAGTTGGTGATGATCCTTGGCTCCTCTTCTTTTCTCTGCAGATGCAAGAAAATCTAAGAAAGAGAAGCCACGTGCTTACCACTAAGGGTGCACGTGAACAAATGGAGGGAAGATGTACAACAGCTGTGCGCCAGGCACGGTGCTGGGGAAATTCACATTCGTTTTGTCATTTAATCCGCACCACAACACTCTGAGGTAGCTGATGTTATCCTCAGCTTACAGATGAAGAAAGAGGTTAGAGAGATTAAGCAATGTACATTGCGGCAACCAGACGATAAGCAATAAAGCAGGACTTGAACTAAGCTTTCTCTGATTCCAAAGTTCTCTTCTAAGACTGTGCTATACTGCCATGTGCCCTTGGGCTCGTTATTTACTCCCTTAAGCCCCAGCTTGGTTATCCTCTTGAATAGCTCCCACTCTACCTTGGATCCTATTTTTTTTTTTAAAAAAAGCCTATAAAAAATTGCCCTACCAGATTAAAAATATTATAAAGCTACAATAATAAAAACCGAATGGTAAGCAGTGAAATAGTAGAGTAAAATAAACTCAGGCATATGATAAAGGAGTATTTCAAATGCAAGAAAAATGGATTATTCTATAAACGATATTGGCAAACCTGGGTAGTAAAGCAATTAGTAGGTGCCCAAGAAGTGCTTGTAATTTGCACTGCGTGTAATTAAATGAGCTAACATACATTGTCCTGCTCCCCCAGTGACTGCTGAGAAAAAGGATTTAGGATCATTTTCTGAGTTCTGGACTTTTTTTTTTAGGAAGATTAGCCCTGAGCTAACATCCACTGCCAATCCTCTTCTTTTTGCTGAGGAAGACTGGCCCTGAGCTCACATCTGTGCCCATCCTCCTCTATTTTATATGTGGGACGCCTGCCACAGCATGGCGTGCCAAGCGGTACCATATCTGAATCCAGGATCCGAACCGGCGAACCCTGGGCTGCTGAATCGGAACGTGCGCACTTAACCGCCACACCACCTGAGTTCTGGACTTTTTAAGCCTCGGCTCTATGTAGCACTCTGATCTGAATTCCTCACACAATCTCCTACAATATTTACAATTTAGAAAGTGTTTTCACTACCTTGTTAGTGCGGGGCAGGTGTTATTATTCCCACTTTCTATACAAGGACACTGAGGCTCAGAGAGGTTAAGTTCACAGCTGGCACAGCGTGTCAAACTTAAACACTGGGCTTCTGGATTCCTCTTGTTGCTGTCTCAGTCTCTCCCCACCCCTGCCTTCACATTCACACCCACACATTTAAACAATGGAAAACAACATCCCTACATTAACACAATAACTATGTTAATTTCTCTGTATTCCCTTTCAGTCTTTGTCCAAGGTATACATATTTTACACAATTGCACTCAGAGTTTAATTACAATTTAGTAGCCCATTTTTCTGCTTAACGTTGTATCCTGAGTCCCCAGTGCCGTTGACAGTTTTGTAGCAAATGACTGACGTACATCTTTCCTGTCTCTTACA